TTAGAAACTCTCACAGAACCAGGCATATGTTCATGGACAAAATGAACATAATAATGAGAACTGAATTGTGTTAGGAAGAATCCTGTGTGGAGTATATCATCGTTTACACAAATGGTAGAACATTTTAAGGACAACGCGTCTACTGGTCAGCTAGTAAAGTAAATATACTTTTACAAGGGAAGGTTCAAAGGGTAATACCTACCTATCCTATGCAGGTTTCAATCGTTGAACTTTATCACCAAGTCTCTTGTATCACGTTTCCGTGTCACTCCCATTTTTCATTCATGTGGGGGATTGTTGAAAAAATGAGTAAATATGTCACTTTTGGCATAAGTTTGAGTGGGACCCGTTGGTCCGATTTGGAAGATCAAAGTTGATCTGTGTTCTCCTCCGTGAGAGCATTGAAACCATATATTTACTTGCCAAAATTGATTAACGGATGAATAAGAAACTGGAGCTCAAAGTTGGTCATTGGAAGATGGTTTATGTAGGAAAAGTGACATTTGTCCCACATAGGAAAATGAAGAAAGCATGAACCACTTTATATATCCCTACACTTTGGAATGATGTAATCATGTGTAGTATAAAGGTTTTCTCCACGTGTGCGCGCAGGGGATGCAAATCTAGGACCGAAATAGCTTTCGGACCTTGAACTTGGGTGTGGGCACGACCTGCGCATATAAATATCGGACCGAACAAGGCAAAATTCGCCCCTTCGGAGAGCCCACGTTTTGCAATTTTTTTTACTTTCTCCAATGACTTTTGAATTTCTGAAATTGCAAAAACTCCAGTGGACTCCCAATGGTCATAGTGTTAATAGGCAGTAACTCCAATGGACACTCAATGGTCACAATGTTAATGGGCAGTATGCCTATAAAAAGACTCATTCTCCAGCAATCTAAGACACTCGAAAATCTCACCTACATTCCTGCATACACAGTTTTTTCTTTCCTGCATTCCTTGTCCAGTAAGGTCTTATTCTTGTGGTGATATTGTTCGGATACTAGATCAGTTCGTCAGAGTAGTATCTGCGGTGCTCAGATTCTACTATATACCGTTGTATCCTGAAAAACAGACGCTCGAATTAAAACTGAAGCACGTACGGTGAGAGGACAAATCTGTTTTAAGGACACTGTGTTTACACAGGCCTCAAGTTAAAAGATTATATGAAATTATAAGCATATCGTTAATTTTTTTGGTTCTCTGAAATTTCTGTTAATTTTCAGCTTTCCCGTTTAGATTTATTAAATTAACGTGTTTTACATAACTTAATATAATTTAGTTCTAAATTAGATTAATATATTGTGGTTTATGATAATTTAGTTTATTGTGTAATTAACTAATATTAAAAATCGGTCTGAGAAAACCCGATATCATTCCACCAGCATAATTTCCAACACTTCCTCTTTGTTCTTCTCTGTCTTTGCTCCTCCTCCTTGTGCTTCCTGCGTGTCCACCTTTGATAGATTGGTGTTGGCTCAACCATGTTGTAAAGTTGGTATGAGGAAGATCCTAAATAATTTGGGGCATTTTATTTGGTTGTACCATCACTTTTTGAAGTTTTGCATTGATAATAGTTTGTGTCCTCTCTAAATAGTGTAATTAGACATTGATATTCTAATTTCATTCAAAATTGCCAACCATAATGGCTATCTTGAAACACTTTACCTCCCACTTCTGTAAAGGCGGTTTAAGTAATTTGGAGGGCTTTATGCAAAATCGTAAAAAAAGACTTCTTGAGAACAAAATAATTAAGGTCTTGTTTGAGCCACATTATTTTCTCATTAAAATGAAAAATATGATCGTTATTCATCCCATCAAGCCACCATATTTGACTTTTTATCTTTTGTGTGGGGCCCATAACGACTATATCATTCTCATTTTTACAATAATGTGGCTCAAACGGAGGCTAAATTAATAAAGCAAATGATCTTTGATGGATAATCACCAATATGATGGTTGGTGACTTCGATTGAAATCAATATTTGTTGGTAATTCACATAGAATTATCCACGTGATACCATTGGTGATCATCGACACACATTCGTCAATGANATGAAAGGTGAAAATAGGGGTAAAAACGTCAAAAAATAAAAAATATGAATATTTTGCATAATAATATTGAAGGGTAGGGATGTATTGTACTATTTACCCCGTTCGACTTTATGTAGTCCTTTGATAAGTGTATTTTTCATTTTTCAATCTTCACAACTTGACAAATCATTACTTATTGAGAGGATATTTACCTAATCTACCGTAAATATATTAATTCTTGAAAAAACAAATACTTGGATGCAACTTGTGTGAAGAAAGACATTTGTAAGTTTAATTTGAGTTGTTTCAGAGCAATTGAAAATCAACTCAATTGCATAGGATCACACGTGGAGCATTAAGAGAGCAATCAGAGGAAATTTACAAGTTTCAAAAGCAAATTCTAATATTTGGAAAGTTTCAATTGCAAACTATCAAAACTCGAAAATGATCGATTTTGGGTGATTGTTTGAGTGTAAAGATTTGAAGATGAAGGACCCCATGGTACAAATAAAAAGGACAAGAGCCATATGAAAGAGAAAATTGGAGGTCTAAGGTGAGTAAAAAGAAAAGTAAGGAACTTTGTGAGTTCCTAATTGCAATTGCGAACAAGGGGAAATCACCAACGACGAGTAAACATGTACTTATTTGTATTTAGATTTAATTTTCATCCAAAGTAATATATCGAAAGGCTCATTAACCCATCTTCAAAGCGACCATATAAATAATCCATCAAATCTGCTAGTAATTAAAAAAAAAAAAAAAAAAATTTAGAAATTAAGTTAAAATGTAAATAATTAATTGAGTATATGATTAAAAAATTGAGACGAAAATAAACAAAAAAATGCCGTGGACTAAAAATTTAATGAACCTGACACAAAATAAAAGAAAACAAAACAACTATCAATAAAATATAAGAAAACAGTTATCAAAAGAAAAAGGAAATTTAAATAAACTGACTTGAAAATTTAATCAAAATTCAATAAAATGTATTTTTAAGCTTAAAATCCATATAATGCTTTAAAATCCTTCAATTAATGAAATCTTTATAAATCCACCAAATATTGAGAATACTTAAATTTTGAAAGATTCTATTAAATTTTATTAAAATATCAATTGGGGACACCTAAATTTTAATGAAAATCTCAATTAAACACACCTAAATTTAGATTTAGAATGATGGTGAGGGGAAGATCACATTGACAAATAACTCAAAAAACCAAAATGAAAATGAAACATTTTTTTTTTCAATTTTTAATTTTTCCATGATATTATGGTCTTCAACCCCATTTTTTTGGAAAGAACCTTGCTATAGGTACGGGGATTTAAATCCCTGTACCTACCAAACACTCACATTCAAAGGCGGGAATTTTTTTTTTCTCAATATTTTATACACGGGCCCACTATCATGTGAGTGAGAATTTAAAAATCTGTCAAAAATTTTCTGTACTTGAAAAATTTTTGTTTCGGAAATGAAAATAGGTGAAATAATGTTTTTTTTTTAAGAATGAGTGGTTGAAAAAGAAAGAAAAGTTTTCGATTTACGTGTAATATTATTTTATAGAAAATTGTTTGATTCAAAATATGAGAGAAAAATGAATGTGGAAATTACACAAAACCCCACATTAAAAATCCACATTTCTAAAACAGGCCTATGTTTTAACATTTCAAAAATCAGAATTCCTTCAATCTATTAATATTCCAAACCCTAATCTGATTTGAATTTTGTTTTCTCTCTCTTCGTGCCCATGTCTCCTCTCTCAAAACCGTCGGCGATGGAAGAGCTTCTTCTCCCTCTTTGTTTCCCATGTCTTCTCTCAAAACCGTCGGCGATGGAGGAGCTGCTCCGGCCAGCGTTGGTAGAGTGGAGGATGTCGAGCATCACTGCAGCGTCCCCGACCAATGTTGCTGTGAACGGTAGCATCGCGATGATACTGTTCATCGACGCTGCCATTCGCAGCAGCGTCGTGACCGCTAATGCAGCAACTGTGTGTGCGTGGGTGTGGTGTGTGTGCGGTGGCGATGGCTGTGGCATGAGGTGCGGTGGTTGTTGTAGTTGGTTTTTCTTTTGGTTGTTGGATGCGGTGCAGGCAGTGGCGGCTTAGTGGATAGTGATGGTGGTTTTGGATCTATTTTGCGGTGGTGTCGTCAAGATATGGGATCAATTGCAGCGATGAAATCGACGATGATCTGGGAGATGAAATCGAATTGGGCGGTTGCGACGGGGGCATGGTTGTGGCGGTGGCTGTGGTATGGTTTTGGTGATGTTTGGGAGGTGTGGTTGTAATGTTGGCAGTGGTGGTGGAGATGTTGGCGTTGGTGGCGAATCTCAGTGGATTTGGTGTTTATGTGGTGGCAGTGGCCAGGGTGGGATGTGATTGAATGATTGTGACTAATTATTTGGTTAATTGTGAATAATAATTGGATATATGATTCAAAAATTGTGATTGTGACTTTCGATTGTGACTTACAATTGATTAAGGCGTGATCAAAAAATTAATTGTGATCTGAAAATTGTGACTGTGACTTCCAATTGTGACTAAATATTAATTAAATTGTGACCAATTATTCCAATAGTTTGTAATGAGTAAATGAGTTATAATTAATAAAAATTTTGAATCTGTGAACTATAAAATTTTTGAATTTGTAATCGAAAAATATTTTATGACCTATAAAATTTTCGATTTGTGACCAAACAATAAGTTACAATAATAATTTGTGATTAAAAATTAATCCGTGACTAATTTATTAGTTAACTGTGACAAAAATTTGTGACCTAAATATATTTAATTAATAAAATATATATTTAACAAATTAATTTATAAATAAATTTTGAAAAATCTGATTTTTGAAACTTTAAACTATTTTTCTTAATTTTGAAAAGGGGTATTTTACCCTCTTAGAAATGAATTTTTCCCAAAATGAAATGTAATTTAATTTAAACGGGCCAAACGGGAGCTGGCTTAAGCAGAAGGGTTTATCATTTTATCCATCTTCTCCTCCGTTAAAATCTGAATTTCTATTCTCCAGACAATGGCACGCATGGCCGTATTTCACCACGCGTACACGGTGCCTCTCGCGCGTGCCATCCATGTCCGTGCTGTGTCAGTTGCCTGCAGTGGCATCGCCACTGTCACAGCGCCTTCTCTCAACAAGAAGAAGGAAGATCCTCAGGTGCTCCTCGGCATGTCCGAGCAAGACCTTCAACAACTGGCCCTCGACTTTGGTCAGGTTTGTCTAATTCCGTCTAACAATATATGTAAAGGTGCGAAATGAATTACTGTTGTTTTCTTTTTTGAGAATTTGACATTTTTACTTGTTTATTATAGCAAAGTTATAGGGGGAAGCAATTGCATCATCTGCTGTACAAGAGGAAGGTGAAAGAAATTCAGGATTTCAGTCACTGTGAGTACTCTCTCTCCTTTTCTTATTTAAAATATTATTTTGGGAGGGGAGAAGGGATTATAATTTTGAGTCCTGTGAATTTATTTTTGTAATTGCCTTTGTGGGCGAGAAGTGCCATTGGCATTTCGGAATGAACTGCAGGACGCGGGATGGAGGGTTGGGCGGTCACCCATTCATAAAGCAGTCACTGCAGCTGATGGTACGGTTAAGGTGAACACATGGCTATTGTTCTTGAACTTATTCTTGTTTATAGCTAAATGCTTCTTAAAAAATTTCTTTAGCTGTTTTTTGTTGATTTCATCTGGAAAACTAAATACAAAATCAACAGATTTAAAGTTGGACATATGTTGCATTTTTTGTAAATTTGTGCCCAAGAGTTTGACTATTACTATTGCTTATGCTTCCGAGAAATTAGTTTCTACATTTGTGAATTATTTTGTAGGAAAATGTTGAAGAAATTAATAGTCCTCCTTTGCTTGAGAAGATTCTAAAACCTCATTTTAATTGTTTTGAACCTTTTCAGAGTATATTACTTAATTGGAAGTCATAAGTTGAATATTCTTTTATTTGGGTTATCAAGGAGGAAGACAGAGAAGACTGTTTGAAGAATTCACTGAAGGAAACAGCTAAAAATGCTTCCTTTCTTTTATTTCAAGATTTGGGCGTATCTGAAAATTTCACCCTTACAAAATTATGTATGCATTATTGCCGTCTATATGAGTATGCGACTCTGTGTGTGTTCCTGAAATTCAAAATTCTTTGGCAGGATACTTGTTGCTTTCTGATGTACATTCACCATTAATTTTTGTCAAATGATCTCTCCTTCCTTTCTGCTCCATCTATCTCTGTGTGTGTGTGTGTGTGTTCCCTTCTCCTGCTTCCTTCCAATATCGTGATCTCATCATTACTCTTCCTCTTTCAGTTACTTGTAAAGCTTGAGGACAATAGGTTGGTTGAAACTGTTGGCATACCTGTTAAAGATGAAAAGGGTTCTATTCGTCTAACTGCTTGTGTATCATCACAGGTAAATTTCACAGCTTATAATTTTTTTTTCTAGGCTAGGTTACTTCCTTTTAGGAAATGCTATTTCTTAACTTAATTAGCATACATCTTAGATGGTATTTATATCACTCATAAGCAGTAAAAGCTTATAAGCTTTTTAAGTTGTTCAATTTAGTAGTTATGAGAACATTAAAAGTTTGCTTTGCCATGAGCAAGAAGCAAGCAGTTTTAACTGCTTGGACGCACCTTAAAAATAAGATAGGATACTCAAAATTATTTTTGAGCTGTCGTTCTGGGATTATACAAGCTTTTAGTTTGGCCTCCAAGCACATTCTGTCTTAACAATTCCGAACTGGCTCATAGTGGCATTTTAATTACGTCTACTTTCCACGTTTGTTAAGCAGGTGGGATGTCCACTGCGTTGTTCGTTTTGTGCCACTGGCAAGGGGGGTTTCTCAAGGAATCTTAAAAGGCATGAAATTGTTGAGCAGGTTTGCCTTCATTTGATCAAGGCTAATTTTTGAAGTAAATGTATTCGGATGATCTCCTCAAACCAACAAAGTTTTGCATGTGACTGCATCTTCTGTCTTAAACTTTCTTGGTGCCCTTCCCTTTACGTTTATGTGGGCAGAAAGAGAAGAAAGGTGTAGATTGTGGTTGGTCGGTTCTATAACCTCCATCAGTAACTACTCGACTTGCCTTCTCTTTTATCCTGCACAGACCAAGCTTTTTATGGACAGTGTTCTGCTTAGCCCTTTTTTCTTCATTTGTTTAAATGGACAGGTTTAACTAGAAGATTGGCATCATTTACTAAACAAGTCAATTTCATGAATACTTGAATGTACAAGTTTCTTTTTTATTTTCATTTTATTGCAAACGGTATGATGGAGAAGGCATGGAACTGGGAATTTTTTTTCATGTCTAGTATTTTTTAGAAGGATGATTGCATCATTATCTTAGTGGGCGTCATGATCCATCATTGGATGATGTTTACAAGTTAATGCATGCTTGTTCATGAGTATGAGTTTTGCGTTCAAGCGCTCCAAATTAATGAACTGAGCCAAATCAGGCTGCCAGCTTATTCTTTGTTTATGACAAGTGTAAGTCGATTTTGGGCTCCCTTATTTAATGAGCCAAAGCAAGGAGAGATTCCATCCACTGCTTGGATTGCTGAAATAGGAAATGCTATTGGCTTCGTAAGTATAAGAATTCACTTCTATGAGATAAATTCCCTGATAAAGCTGCTATTAACAGGTGAACTCGTATTGGCCAAAGTGGAAGAGAAGAAAATGGAAAAATAAACCATTTTTTCCCTAATATTTAGGTGATCTAAGAAGAACTTAGCTCAGCTACCCCTGTCCAGCAGTGTGTTGTAGAACCTCCACTTACTAGTTAACTGCCATGATTATATTTCAGTCCACCTTGTGGCAGTAATCATTTAAGTTTAAGATCTGGATATTTTGTACGAGTGAGTATTGGGAATTTGTGTTATAAAACCTTTTTCTTTAAATTCATCACTTCAGCGCATTTTCGCAATTGAAGAGCTCTTTAAACGTATAGTTTCACATGTTGTGCTTGTAGATATTTTCAGCATCATAACTGTTTCCATCTTATAAATCTTCAGGTTTTAGCAATTGAAGAACTTTTCAAACATAGAGTAACAAATGTGGTGTTTATGGGAATGGGCGAGCCAATGTTGAACATGAAAGAAGTACTTGAAGCACATCGTTGCTTGAATAAGGTATATCAAGTCCGTGCCAAGTATATTTTCTACTTGCACAACCATTTTGTTTATTTTTTGTCTAAAAAATCCTGTTACAGATTGTTTAAACCATTTTGTGGTACTTGATTTCTTTCTTATTGTTTAGGTGCTTGTCTCGAAAGCAAGTTATGATCATTTTTCTATTTATTGTGAATTCTAATTCTCCATTTATGATTTCCTTCTAAATCGAGCAATTTAAATATTCACTAGGATTAAATATCCAAGAAACTGAATGTTGGAAAACACACAAACAAATATTCTGTTTTTTTAATCCAAGGCTAGCATTTCCAAATATGCAAATGCTGAAGAAACAGTTGAGCTCATCATGCTTTACAGTATATGCTGAATACAAATGGATTGACAGATTATCAAATATTTGTTTTTCCCAAGAAATGACATTTATCAAACATGATTTTGAAACAAGAAAAATATCCTTTTCTTCACGTTGATGTGCTAATGTTATTAACAGGATTTATGCAACAATTAGAAGTTAGTGGCATGACGACCTTGATCACCAGAGGAGATAATCTCGAAAGAAATAGGATCTCATAGTAATTGATCCTTACCGAGACAACATGTTGACGAAACACAGCATGTTGTAGCATTGTCAATCTTTGTCCATTTTAACAAAACTATTCTTTAAATAACTGTTCATCATAAGTCAAGAAAATTTTATCGCCATAAGTTCTTCAGGGATTTTTGTTTGTTTGAACAGTGTTTTTATTAACGAAAGGTTGTTAGTTCTTGACTTATTCCTTTCAGAGAGGAAATTTTTTAGTGTATAATTGCCACCATTATTTGTCGGAAAGCTAAGAATAAAAATAAGAGAGCAGGGAACAATTTCATCTTGTGGCACTATAATGAAATTGTACAGATACGTTAATTTTTCTGGTAATCCAATGTTGAGGTTTCAGTTGATTTTCTAGCTTGAACAACCCTTCTTACTTTTAGCTTCCTGAAATGGCCAGTAGAATATAATACATATTTTGAATGTGATATTGATAGAAATCATGTGAAATCATCATAACATCCATTATGTGAATTCATCTTGATGCTCAATTTTTTAAAAAACAAGTTTACCTTATTGACTCAGTTTGTAGAATAAGAAGAAATAAAGGAATTCACTGGAGTTCTTTAACTTGGTACGAGCATAATTTAGATTACTTGATAACACCAACAATAAACCAAGTTTGTTTCTAATAAATTTGGGGTCAGGTTTATATAGATTGTTAAATAGATTGTTTAACAAGTTCTTAACCTTGAATTTCGCGTTTATTAAGGATATTCAAATTGGGCAAAGGATGATAACAATTTCGACAGTTGGAGTTCCGAACACTATAAAAAAGCTGGCTTCTTGCAAACTTCAATCTACATTGGCTATCAGGTACAACTTTCTATGCTCCAATTTCCAATTTGACATTTGCTTCAATTTCTCTTTTTTATAATTTTTGTTTTTGTTAATGATATTTGTCGTTTTTAGTATTTGATTTCAGATTGGTGAATGATTAATTATACACTTTCAATTTTATTTGTTGGATTCAAAAATTATAAAGAAAATCATTGTTTTTGTATGTTTATGCAATCAAATTAATATGAAATAATACTGAAAAGTAATAAAATATCGTGAAAGATTTTTTGACAATGTTTTCTACTATATTTACCAAGGGTGAATAATATTGACATAGACGTGGACATTCAAAAGGGGACTATGTCCATTGACTGGGTGGGCCGTAAAGAATGATGTTGAATTTTTGTTTTTCTTTGAAGGGGTGTGATTGATTTAAAAAATGGTCCTTTTTAATTTTTTGAATTTATTTGATTTAATTTCAATAATAATGATAAAAAATGAAAATCAAGAAGTGAAATTTTAACCCTTTTTCATTAAATTTTGTGTTATTATTTTTGGGTTTCTTTTATATTTATAATGTTGCCACTTGTTAAATCAATTACATTTTTATTTCCACTTGACATTTTAAAGTGCTTGTATTGCTAATATTTAGATTCACGTTCCTCAATTTTATTCTACTACACATTTAGTGCTTGTTTGTGCCCCATTATTTGTGAGTAATGTATTATGGAATAGTGATTGAAGTTGAAAGGTGTGGTTAAGAAAAAAAGAAAGTTTTTGATTTACGTGTAATATTATTTTAATAAAGAATGTGTGATTGAAAATAGTAACTTAGAAAGACTAATGTGGTAGAATGTGGAAGAATGATAGACAAACAAAGCCTTAGTAAGTACTTTATTTGCCGCGTTACAATTTTTTTCATTTATTTGTTAATTACCATTGATAATGCTTTTCTTTTAAATGAAATTATTGAATTGTGTTTGCTTTCCTGTCTTATTTATAAACAAATTTTATTACATTTATTATTATTATTATTATTATTATTATTATTAAATTTCAGCCTTCCCGAACAAATATCCTGGATCCGCCCCTGAACATGTATATGTAATTTCCATTTTGCAAGTCCTTTTGTCCATGTTTGATTGTATTGAACTGTTGCTTGGATTGGACACCAAAGACTATAGTTTAATCCGTTTAAAACTAAAAGAATATTGCTGCTATGTAAGTTCCCCTTGCTATATTTCTAAGAGTGTATTAGCCTTTTTGTTAATATTCGTTAATATTTCCGCTTTACGAAATTTGAAGAAGGCACCTTAATGCCTCAAAAAACCATATATCTGATTTTCCATTTTAAATTTGGATTTGAATCTGTAGTATCCTCATTTGAGGGATTGTTTCTTTTTTACCTACTTAACTGAGTTACCATTCCAGTTGCAAAAAAATGGGGCACGACTAGCAGTTCTTTCTCAGTGCTGGAGTTATTTGCTTTCTCATCCTCTTTTCAATGTTTTCAACATCAGCTTACATGCTCCGAATCAGAAACTCCGGGAAAAACTTGTGCCAAGTGCAAAGTCCTACCCTTTGGATGCAATCATGAAGGACTGTAGGGACTACTTCCATGAAACCAGTCGACGAGTATCCTTTGAATACACACTTTTAGGTATTTGGTATTTTGCTTCATTAAGTTTCTTTTTCTTAAAATGCATCTAGACATGACAAATGGTGTGACTTTGTTTTCTTCTTTGTCAGCTGGAGTCAATGACGAAGTAGGGCATGCAAAAGAGCTAGCAGAGCTTCTTCATGAATGGGGTCCAGGTTATCATGTAAACCTGATACCCTACAATCCAGTAGATGGTTCAGAGTACAAGCGTCCATATAAGAAATCAGTATGCGGGCTCCATCCTACTTTTGGATCTTTCAGCCATTAAATTTGGGCATCCGTCAGACTCGTTGAGCGTTACATTTAGTATATAACTAATATATTTTAAGTTTTTGAGTTCAGGTTCTTGCATTTTCAACTGCTTTGGAGTCTCGTAAAATAACCGTCAGTGTCCGTCAAACCCGGGGACTAGATGCAAGTGCAGCGTGTGGGCAGTTAAGGAACGAGTTTCAAAAGACCCCATTGCTTTCAGGTGCCGAAGACCAGCAATCTCAATCCGAACTAGTAGTCGCATGATGATATCATTAAAACTTCATTCTTGCTAAAGCTTTGCTTTAGCTGAGCAGCAGTTTGGTGCTACAAGTTGATTCACAAGGGCTAGTTCTATTGACGTCTTCACCTCAGATTCTTGCTGAAAGGTGATTTTTCCGAGGAAGTGGCTTGGAGTAAGTATACAAGCGAGCCTATTTGGGACAAGGTTGTATCAATTGCATTTTCTGATAGAATCCCCCGTGCCTCTGCTTGAAGGTTTGTAGCTTCGGAAAATTGAAGTTGAGCTTAAGAGGATTATATTGGTTTCTTCAGCGCAGAAGTATGTAAATTACTCTAAATGGTGATTGAAGGCAAGCAAATTCTTCGTGTATTGTGTTGGTGCAAATTTTGTAAGGACTAGTGCAAATTTTGTAAGGACACCTGTCATTCTGCATCTTGTGGACGTATGGTACAATTGGGTCATTTTGTTCATGTTCGAAAAGCTAATGATCTGGAATTTATATTATAAAATGGAGCTGACAACACATCATTATACATTCAGAAATTAGAGATTTGATACACGTACAGGGTGGAACCCCACCAGATCAGATACAAGGTGTGTGGGTGGGGTTTTTTTGACAATATTTTAATTACATGGAGTCCACTCTCATGTGTCTCATCTGGAGGGGTTCACCCTCTTCTGTAAAAAGGTTGAATCCCAACCTTTAGGGCCCCCACCGACCCTGTCCTGGATCATCGTGGAGGAGGTAAATCGCAGGATGTGCCTCCCAGGAGCCAGGGTGGAGAGCACATGGATAGGCCAAGGCTGTTAACCTATATGGTAACTTTCGCTTGCAACAAAATCAATTCCACTTTGCGGGGAATCGAACTCTGCACATTGTCGCGCTGAGCCCTATCCGTCCTCCCCTTTGTCACTGGGAGATATGCCCTGGGGGCGGTTCACCCTCTTCTGTACATTCATCATTGGTGCGTAAATTAATGTTAAGAACATTTTTTTGACAGAAAATGTCAACATGAGGCCTTTTAACATAATTTGCCATCTTACTCTCTGTTTGGCAAATGTATACATGGTTTATGAAGATGAGGTTACTAATGAATTTCATGAAATGTATGTATAATAATTAGCCTTTGTTTGATTCTCTTTATTTTAAAACTTTTTATTTCTTATACTCATTTTTAATTTCACATTCACATAATAAAATATTTTACACGTAAACTCAAATTTTTTTTTTTTTTATATTCTTCAATAAATCAATGTTCAAAATATAATTTTCTCCAAATTTCTCTTTATAATGAACAATAAGCAGGGGTCTACTTAAGAATGTGTGATTGAATTTAATGTTTAATTTTAATAAATTATAGTATTTTGGGGAAATTCCAGAAATACACTAAAATTAGGGATCAAATTGAAATGTTACAAAAACTGAATTTCAATTTTCATCTGAAAAAAGGTTATAGCCTTTAACTTCCTCTAAAGTGTAAAATTAGACTAGACCAAACCAAACTAGAAAAATGATAAATAGCCAGACTCAAAAACAGGGAATGAAAAACAAAATGATGTGGCAGCAAGTTGCTGTATTTTTTTTTTTTTTTTTTAAAATTTTTTCAAACTCTCCCATCAGGCATTGACACGTGTGTGCAGCTAGTTTTTAACCCTATTTTTCAGCTTGTTTCTGTAGCATTTCTCACTAAACCAACCCAAACTGTTAGGTCCCACTAATTGTCATAAAACAAAAATCATACGCCTTAGGTTTGATTGTAGAATGAATGGTTGAATTGGGCCAAACTTGACATCTCATACAAACCATGAACCAGTGTCAAGGGACAAGTTCTAGTTGACTTTATGACCACTCCTGGATCCCCGAGAAGTTCGACAACAGAAAGACGCCACTTAGGAGCTGTTTATTGATGGGTCCTATACCGGAAGACGATAAGGAAAATGAACTATGTTGATAAGCCTCAAGCTTCACTACGACTACTACAAAGCTTTTAGCAATGAAGTCAAATCTAAAGCCATGATTGTCGCTCTAAGAATGTTCAAAAAAATAAGATATACCTAATATAGCCCTCTGTCAGAGAAAGGAATTGTTGATAAGCCCCCAAGCGTCAATACTTTATCCACTTCGAAGCATCTAACAATGAAGTGAAGTCCAAAGCCATGATTCTCGGTCTAAGAATGGTAAAAGAATAAAGATATCCAATGTAATATTGCATAGGATTCTGTTAAGTCGAAAAATCGTTAAGTTTCAAAAAACGGATCGCTTTGCAATAAAAATAATTTGCAGAAAATTAAAGGATTCGAACACAAAGATATGTTTCGCCCTAAAGAGGGTCCGAATGTTCGGTCTTGATACCTAATCACCCGTTGAGCATCACCAAACGGTGATAAAGCTCAAGATCCACTAAGTATCAACCAAGAGCAGTACAATATGTACGAAGAAACAAAAGGTTTCTTTGAATTTCCTTTCGCCTTTATTCAAAACTATAATCCAACTCACTCTCAATCGCTGACAAACTATACAACACAATTAGAAACCATCACTAAGATTACAGATTGAGAAATCACCAAGAACACATCGAATTACAGTAACCCAAGAACCCTAATCTATCACACAGAGAAAAGGAGAGAAAAGCGAAAGGTTGAAAAGACTTTGAATCGTCTAGAATTATGGCCAAAATCAAGTAAGTATCTGATCAGTCAACCATCCAAGGGTGAGGGTGAAGCCACATGTATGGCTGAACCTCAACCATTTAAGAGGCAAAAAACGTGTTTCTCTAAAGCGCGTTTTATAACTCGAAATTAATTTCAACAGACCAAGCCCACAAGTCTCAAATTGGGCCAAAAAGAAATGATAAGGTAACCCAACAAATATAACAATCTCCACCTTACTGAACTATTTCTTGGTCTCTACTAGTGAATCTAGAGCTATAGCAACTGTTGGCTCATTTGCTCTCAATACCTGCAAAAAAAAATAAAATAAAATAAACAAATCAGTTCAAAACTTTTCAATATTAAACACTTGAAGTTCTGATTATTACTATCTCAAGTAATATTCAGAATCTTCAAGCAATTTTGAAATTTACTCAAAGGTAATACCTTAGTTCCTAAATCTGAAGGGTTAAATTCTGTAGGAATTTTGACCAGATTAATCAAACCTTTTTCTGCCATATTTCTCACAAAGTGAAATTTTATATCTATATGCTTAGTTCTGTCATGGTAGACAGGATTTTTACTTAAATGCATGACACTTTGGTTATCTGTATAAATCGTAACAGTATTATTTTCAAAACCTATTTCATTTAACAAACCCCTAAGCCAAAATTTTACTGCATCACAAGCAGCAATATATTTAGCTTCTGTAGAAGAAAGAGCAACTAATTTTTGCAGTTGTGATTTCCAACTAATGCAGCCATCACACAAAGTGAAAACATATGAAGATGTTGACCTTCTTTTATCTAAATTGCCAGCAAAGTTAGAATCAGTGTAGCCATTTAACTTTACCCCTTCATTGTTTCTTTTAAACATTAAGCCTAAATCAGAGTTTCCTTTTAAGTATATTAGCATCCACTTCATGGCTAACTAGTGTGTTTCACCTGTATTTGACATAAACCTATTCAAGGTACTAATGCCATGAGCTAAGTCAGGTTTGGCACAGACCATAAGGTACATTATTGATCCTACAGCATTCGCATAAGGAATCTTTTCCATTCTTATAAATTCATCACCTGTTTTAGGTGAACTTTCACTTGACAGTTTAAAATGATTAGCAATGGGTAAGGTTACATGTTTACACTCAAGCATTGCAAACTTTTCAAGTATTTTCTTCACATATATGCCTTGTTTCAATCTTAACATGCAATTATTCCCATCTCTTTCTATTTCCATTCCAAGAATCCTTTTTGCTTGTCCTAGGTCTTTTATTTCAAATTCAGATTTTAATTTTGATTTAATGAAGTTAATTTCAGTTCTATCATGGCAAGCAAGCGACATGTCATCAACATATAATAACAAATAAATGGATTCAGGTCCACCTGAACCTTTATAGAAAAAACAGGAATCATAATTGCTTTTGACAAAACCCAAGGTCTGCACATAAGAGTTAAATTTTATGTACCATTGCCTAAGAGCCTGTTTTAGTCCATAGAGGGACTTCTTCAACAAACAAACCTTATTGATCTTAGACTTTACTTCAAACCCCGGAGGTTGACTCATATATATGGTTTCATCAAGATTTCCATTGAGGAATGCAGTTTTGACATCTAGTTGATCTAATTCCCTGTCAAAATGAGCAGTTAGTGCCAACACTATTCTTATAGAGGTATATTTAGCCACTGGAGAAAAAATTTCATTGTAATCCACCCCCTCCTTTTGAGTAAAATCCTTGGTCACTAATCTGACCTTGTATCTTTTATCTTGTGAGTTAGAGTCTTTTTGTTTAATTTTAAAAATTCACTTGCAGTCAATTATCTTTTGGTTCTTTGGCCTATCAACCAAAACCCAAGTTTTAGTTTTGATGAGAGAGTTCATTTCTTCATTCATGGCCTCTTTTCAAAACTTAAAATTTGGACATTTATTTGCTTCATCAAATGAAGTAGGCTTAGAATGTAATAAGTCCAGACCAGAGAAAAAGGTGACAAATTCTTCATTATTAAATTTGATTGGAGGTCTTATATTTCTCCTTTCTCTATCCCTAGTTAACTGATAATCAGCAAGCGTAGGATCTAAAGACTCCACCTCAATTTCAGTTTCATTTTGATCAGGGTTTTCCTCAGATTGAGAGGTTTCTACCTCAATTGGACCATCTAGATTTTCGGATTCATCATTTTTATTTTCCAAGATGGTTTCTTTCAATAGTGCAGGTTCTGAAGTTTTATGATTAGTTGATTTCACACAAGGCATGTCATTTTCATTGAAGATGACATTTCTACTAATAATGACCTTAAAGCCATTTTGGTCTCTAACCCACAGTTTGTACCCTATTATTTCCTCTCCATAACCCAGAAAAACACACTTTAAGGACCTGGGTTCTAGTTTCCCTTCACTCTGATGTGAATAGGCAGTGCAGTCAAAAACTTTCAGTTTACTATAATCAGGAGTTTTTCCTGACCATATCTTTTCAGGCACTTGAAAATCAATGACACTTGATGGACTTCTATTTATTAAATAAGTTGCTATTTTTAGAGCCTCTCCCCAAAAGAACTTAGGAAGATCAGAATTGTACAACATACATCTCACTTTTTCCAATAAGTATCTATTCATTCTCTCAGCAACACCATTTTGTTGAGGAGTGTATGTTACAGTTCTATGTCTTAAGATTCCATAATCTTTACAAAACAAGTCAAATTCAGAGTTGCAAAACTCAAGACCATTATCAGTCCTTAAAAACTTTGATTTTCTTATTTGTTTGGTTTTCGATCATTAATTTTCAATGTTTAAAAGTTTGGAAAGTATCAGATTTTTGTTTTAGAAGAAAAGTCCAAATTTTTCTTGAAAAATCATCTACTATAAGTAGATAGAATCTAA